CGGTGACCAAGGTGTTAGCTTGCTCGTGTGGACAGTTAAGCTAGCACTCACGTTCACAGTCAGGAGAGATGAGGTTTCTAAGAAGCGAGAAGAGGAAATTGAATGACGAGTGACGCTGCGTCACACCCTTTTATAGGGAGGAGGGTGGCCCCTCCCTGACGCAAGTGGCACGACTGCCAGCCAATACTGGCTGGAGTAATGATACAGAGGCTTCTGAGGACAACGCTGAGAGAGCGTTCCCCATAGTGAGACACCGAAACAAATGTTTGAAAGAGAACTGCCATTAATTAATGCTTCAATCTTAAATATGATCAACCTATCTCTAATAATCGACTATGTACCACAGGCCTTCAAGCTGGCAGTAGTTAAACTGTCTTGACCCCGAACCCATTAGCCAATTACAGAAAAGACTTTATTCTATTTGATACATTAGTTAAACAATATGGTTATCAAAACTGGATTTGTTGAATGTCAAAAAATTGAATCTATTTTGAAAAAGAAATTTAAGCCTAATCAAGTGAAATTGCAAACAAGAAAATGTGGTACAATTCCTTTATCTCAAAAACTCCAAATTACTGTCTAAAATATACAGGACACTCTCCAGAATAGATGAATCAATATCCCTTCCTATTGCAAAATGGGAGTCGGAAAACTTCAAAGCTTCTGGTCTCAGATACGCTAGTTTCTTTCCTTGGCATCTGTCAGATCTGGAGTTTATAAATTAAACAGTAATACTTGCAAAGCTTGACTGGGAACGATTGCAGTTAGTGTGATTTGAGCAAAAATAGGAAGCAACCTCCTTGTGATTAAGATATATCTGTGTATGCTCGGTGATTCTATTGAATTATTTTACTGGTCACTCTCAGGCTTTGGGCAACTCAGTCGCAAAGCAGCTGCACAGGTCGCCAGGTGGGAGGAAAAAAATTTTTTTTTTTGCTCTATAGTGACTGAATCATAAACTTAAAATGAAAGTCTGTCTTTGTAAAATCCATTTGATCTGTTTGTGGTGATTACAAAAACAGTCTGACTGAAGCAGAGGGAGGTTGGGGTGGGGTGAATTTCACAGAATGAATGCAGCTGTGAGAGGCTTTAAATAGACCAACTAATCACTTCAGTGAGGTGTGATGGGTGTAAGAATTTGCTACCAAGAATAGCATCTAATAATACCCTGCCTGAACTGACAGACACAATATCATTAATACAACCAATACTCACAGAAATATGCTTTTGTACTTACAATAGGAATGGAAAATCCTTGAAGTGGTGATGCAGTATAGCCTCCTCTGTTGGCATTGATTTGCATGTGGCCAGGTGTTAAAATGTTTTCAAATTAAACTAAGAAATAGAACATTTCAGGATTGCAGTTTTAAAATGCAAGTGTTCAGAAGGCTATCCTGTGGATGATTTCAGTATTACTATCAGTCACAGGTTAATGTTCAAACATCTTTCAGTGTACTCAGAATTTAATTAGACATATTTGAAAATTTTATTTTAATGTAGTAATGTAATTTAATGTAATTTAGTGTGCAGAAGATCTCTGAGACATCTTGTGAGACATAATCAAATTCAACCACATGTAAAATCAAAAGTGGAACTTCCTGTATAATAACTGAAAAAATAAAACTGTTATTAGAAAGTGTATTAGAAGCCCATGGCTCCAAGTCGTCTGTCACTTGTTCACCATCAGTACAAGCTTTGGTTCAGTGAGTCATTCCAAAACACTGACCACCACTCAATCACCAAGCTAAATCCAACCTCTCCCCAGAAAAACAACCTCACCTAGAATAAAAGGGGGTCATTTAATTCCTGGAGTTTAGGCTGTCAATCAGTCTCTCTGTGCCCCTTTGATCGGCTTTGTCAAGTCTTTACCTTACATTTAAAGCATGTTTAGTTGACTGCTGTTGTGATTTGGCACTATATGAACTTCTAATTGTTCTCACACAATCTCACAAACCCTTTGAAACAGTTGTATCTGTCAAAACCAGATGCACTCCACACTCCACAAAACAAAAAACAGAATGTTCAGGGCTTGGAAAAGCTTTTTAATCCCACGGGGCTGTGTTGGAAATGTAAAAACCAAAAAAGATGTATACAGTGTCGTGCACAAGATTTAAGCCGATCTATGACTGATAGTGTTCCTTGCGTGTTTTTTCTATCCAATGTTTTTACTGCATTGGGAGTGTGTTCGGGATCATTGTCAGACTGAAAAATGTAGCTGTTACCAATCGGACACTTTCCAGGTGGGACTGCAGAGTGGATCAGCTAATAGCTCACTGGAAATGACCTTGAGCTAGGTGCCTTTTGTATGCTTTGAATGATTCATAGGTCAGTCTTCAGCGGCTTAACAACAACAACAACAACAACAAATAACTTTCCTTTGAAAATAGTCTGTTACAATGACTTGACTGAAAAAAACTAACAAAGCAGTCAAGACCTTCAGAAAGACTAAAAACCTGTTGCTCACGACGAGCCTTTAAAATAACAAAAAAATAAGCAAAGTGTTAAAAAAAACGGGGTGGCTCAAGTCTTTAATTTACTTAATACTATCCAATTTCACTTTTTACTCATCCAATATAATTATAAAAGCTAAAACATGAACAAATTTGAGAAAAATGTGAAAGGGCACACTTTCCTGAATATCTGAAAGTCCAACATATATTAGTCTCATACTATACCAGGTCTGTTTTCAAATTGCCTGTCATTCCATGTAAAACTATTTCAGCTTAACATGGTGATTGGCCCACATTTAATCTGAAATTACTTTCCCTTAGATTGTTTTCAGTCGCTGGTATCAACCTTGTGTGCAGAGCTGTGCACTCTGAAGTGCATCAGCTGTAACGAGTCATTATGAACATCATTCGCGACAAGTGTGAACAGTTCTGAGTTGTATTTTAGAAATGACATCTGTGATGTATTTTTAAACTTCCTTTATTATTGTGTCTCATGTGTAACACAAACATGTGTTTAAGACAACCTGCAAACTGTGCCTAACTGGGTGAAAACTGTATAACGTTTAACAAACAATCCACCCGCTCAGCGACCGAAAGAAAGACGGACGACAAACAAAAAAAAAAAACCAAGCGAGGGACACTGCCCATGGCAAAAATGACTGAGTCATTGTAGACTATAAGTAAATAAGGTGGCAATTTGTGCCTTTCAAGTGTCATTCTGTCCTTTTCTCCCCTTCTGCCCAGGCAGTAAATGGAATCTGGTTTCCATCCATGACCAGTCCCCACTTGGAAGAAGAATTCAGTGCAAGAGATGACAGGAAAAAAGTGTGGCAGAATTAGAGATAGAGAAGCTATGTTTGGGTGAGTCATAGATGAGTTATGCTGCAGAAAGTTCCTGGCGGTGTTCCCAAAAATCACATTATTTGGATATGAGAGGTGGAGACAAACAAGCAGAGAGGGCAGCCAGACATCATCTCATGACCACGGAGAGCCCTGTCATAAGTGATGAAAATGGTGTGTGTGTGTGTGTGTGTGTGTGTGTGTGTGTGTTATCAGGTCAGGGTGGTGCCCTTGGCCTTGTAAGGTAGGGTTATCTGGGGTTATATATTTGATCCCAGCTTTGCCTGCAGGTCTACCAGCTGCTTTCTCTTCACCTGGCCTCTGTAAGTCTGGTTATACTTTGCATGCTGTTATCATGGTTTATTTTCCCATTGTCTAAACTAAACAGGTTTAAATATGGTGTTATAAGGTCTCCTGGTCCTATTTAACACTTAGCTAACACTGGACTGGTGTACTTTGTATGGCTGTGGTAGATTATCTACTAATCTACAAGGTTACTGGTTCGATCCCTGGCTGCTACATGCCAAAGTGGGCAAGAGACTAAACCCTGAGTTACTCCCATCTGAGTGTGAATGTTAGATAGAAAGCACTAAGATGTAGAAAAAATACTTGGGTGACTGAGACACGTTGTATTCAGCACTTTAAGTGCTTAAGTATTGTAGAAAAGCACTTTATAAGATCCAGTCCATTTACATGACCCAAAAGGATGTTGCAGAATCTCATTAAACACTCTTTTTCTCTGGTTACTGCAGGTGAATCATCATTTCATACAGTGAAGTCTGAGCTCACTTGTCATCTGAGTTGAACCCACTGGTAAATGATCTTTCTTTAAAGTTTTTATAACAACTTATATTACAGGGTCAATTATATGGCAAATATATATTTCCATCAGTGGAAATTCTATATATGGTTTGGACAAAGAAAATAAGTTCGATTTTCATTTGCATAAGTACGGAGTGCAGTAAATTTTTAAAGAAAAGAAAGAAAAAGTATCAAGCTCTGAACCAACTCTTTGCATGTATATTAGTGCTGTGATGGGGGATGCAGAGATGTCTGTGTTTGGGGCGGCTGCCCAGTACCTAAGGAAGTCGGAAAAGGAACGTATGGAGGCCTCGACGCGTCTTTTTGACATTAAGAAGGAATGCTTTGTCCCTGATCCAGTAGAAGAGTTTGTGAAGGCAACCATCACCAGCCGAGATGGAGACAAGGTCACTGTAGAGACCCACAATGGGAAGGTTAGTTCGTTGCTGTTTTTAGCATTTTGTTTGCCCTCATTCTTATCGCACAGTGAGACTGCAGTTAAGTCAAATATAATCTTACTTAGCCTACCGTACATACTGTAGTGGTAGGCAATCGATTGCCTGGTCCACTTGATCATTCAGTACACCACTCTGTACCATAAAACTAAATCTATCAGGTGATTTTGATGAACTGGAGCCACTCCAGTAACCAGGTCAGTTAGAGCAGCACAGGAAACACATTAGATGTGAGTGCATATGAGTGCATGTCTGGGAGAAAGTGATAATCTGAGTGTAAATCTATGAATGATTTAAAGCCTGTCTACTAGTGCAATTAAAGTCTCCACTCACAGCACAGAGCAGCTGAGTGATGAAGCGAGGTATTGCTGCCATCTGGCAATGACAGCCTATGGTATGCACTGTAACACTACACAAGTAATGCTGACAATAACAGGGCAGAACAAGCAGGTAACACGGACAACAGAAGGGTTAATGTTTGGTTTCATAACGCAAATCATCAAAACACATTCTATTTTCTTCCTTCCAGACTGTGACTGTCAAAGAATCGCAGATTCTGCAACAAAATCCTCCAAAGTTTGACAAGATTGAAGACATGGCCATGCTGACCTTCCTCCATGAACCAGCTGTGCTGTTTAATCTCAAAGAGCGTTATGCAGCATGGATGATCTATGTGAGTAGTCAGCAAGTCAAAAACAAGGAAAACCTGGTAAAACCTATTTGCAGTCATTTGCAGTCTGGTGCTTTCACCAGATGAGGAGCAGCAAAATGTTCTGAAAAGAACAGGAATGAGATGGCATTGATTAAATCAGACACAGCATGAAACTGAAGAGATTGCGT